TGTGAAAATTTTGAAGCCATGGATCTAGATATGATGAAGATAACTGGTTTGTGTAACAGATGGCGCAAGTGTGATGATTGGTAAAAATGATGGCGTAAGTGCTAAACTGAAACATATGAACAAATGTCTGATTGAAATTCATTGTGCATGCCATCGGTTGGCATTAGCATGTACAGACACCAATTCTAATCTCAAGTGTGTAGGGAATATTGAGATACATGCTACAGCTTTGGCCCAAAGAAGATGGCTTGTTTTTTGAAACACCTAGAGGGTTACAGAAGCCTTGTACTTAACTCATCAGAAAAAAAGAAGTGTGTAAAAATTCTGAAACGGGCATGTAAAACAAGATGGTTGAGTTTTGAGGCATCAGTTGCTCCTGCAATGGAAGATCTGATTCCTTTAGTTCAAACTCTAAGTTTGAACTTTCTGAAAGTGATGCTGCTGCTTACGGATTACTAAAAAAAAATGCATTCTGCCCATTTTGTAGGTTTGCTCTTTATTTTTCATGCAATTTTACCAATTCTGGGGAAAATAAGTCGGATTTTTCAGAAGAGTTATCTGAATTTTAGTTCAATTCAGCCTACTTTAGACAGTGCAGTTCAAGAACTGAAACAGATAAAAAGTGAAAAAAGTCTAATTGAGTTGGCTAAATCTGAATTAAGTGAAGGTGGAAGGCTTGAACTACTAGATATCACAATAAACCAGAATACTGAACACCAGCTTGGACAGACACTTAGCAACTATATTTCTGCATTAGTGGAAAATATTGAAAGACGCTTTCCTGATGTTCCAATTTTAGTTGCCCTCAATATTTTCAATCCCTGCCATATTCCTGATAAGGACAGTGAAAGCTTCAGTTCATATGGTGACAATGCTGTCGAAATTATTCACCAGCAGTTTCTCCCAGAATGTTGCACCCAGTCCCTTGCTGAAGTAAAAGCAGAATGGCACCTGATGAAATATCATATTGCAGAAAAGAAGTGTCAAATACCTGCATCAGATGATTTTACTCCCTTGGAATGGTGTTTGGGTGAAATAATGAAACACAAAAATGAATACAATTACATGTGCCCCTATCTTACAAAAGTTGTACAATTGATACTTACAATGTCACTTTCTAATGCATGGCCAGAGAGAGGTGCCTCAAAAGTAAAAATCATTAAAACTGATCTCAGAAACAGACTAAAAAATGACATGTTAAATGGATTACTACATATTGCTGTAAATTGTCCAGAGTTGTGCACAGAGAAGCGTGATGGTTTAGTTTCTGATGCAGCTGTGAAGTGGATCACTGCCAAGAAAAGGAAGAAACTTCCTTCCAGTAGGACTTCAGGTAAAAAATTTTCCAGTAGGATTGGTAAAAAAAATGAATGATAATTTTGATATCTAAATTCATTTAATATGAGACTTTTCTTAGATTTCAAATTAAATTGAATAGGTACAGGAGAGGATAGCAGGAAAACATATATGGAGGCAGAAGTCCAAACTGAGTCCGAACCAGTATTACTTGTATCACATGGCACTGATGTTGGTGAAGAAGAAGCTGATGATGTTGGATCAACCTGTGATGATGACCATGAAAAGGACAAACTTTTTGAAAATACTTTACTACAATTAAAAATAGCAAAAAATCTGAGGGAAACAGAGGAGTATAGAAAAAATTTCAGTGTTGATAGTGAATCTGATTGGAATTCAGATGATGAATTTTAATTCTTAAATTCCTTAAATTTGTGTAATGCATGAACAGGAAATTAAAAAATATAATTTTGTTGGTTGTTTTTATTGAAAGGTGGATTAAAATATATAGGCATGTGAAAGGGAGTTAATATACAATATATTCATTATAAAAATTAAGCACAGACTGCACATTTAACATTTTTTATTAGCTCTAAATTGGTAATAAGGAAAAAAATTATAATTTGAATCTTTACAAATTGGTGAAAAGAGAGGCTTCAAAATGGCACTATTTAAGGTAAAGTTAGGCAGTTTTCATTGGTAAATATTTGATAAAAATTGCACTTTTTGATGGCCTTAGAGGCAGGATAAGTAGCTTCAAAAATGGTCATTTTCGCTTCTGTTTTGCTAAAAGTCAAATCTATAAAGCAAGCGTTTCAAAATTATGTACTATGATTGCTTTATTCTTACAAAATAGGAAAGAGATCCACAAATACTGTAAAGTTATTGTCAAACTTAATCAAAGTACTGAGAAGTACAGAGAGCCGGGCTCATTTACAGAGTAGAATGGATTTCTTACATGAATCACGTTTATATTCTGATGAAAAAATTATTTTAAAACTATCAATATAAATGATAAGACACTGACAGTGAGTTTTTCAATCCTAATACCACGGTCCGATTTTGTCAGAATCAGAATTAATCTGGTACCGCAGCTGAACATAAACAAACAGGCCAGTCTGGTTCCCTCTCCTGCTTTACCTCGTATGTGTAGAGAACTACGGTAACACTGATTATCAAAAATCCTTACGCTAATGAACTATGTTCTTTGACTTATGAAGTTTTCAAAGTCATTACTACTAATGTTTATTTTATATAGAAAAAACTTCGTTTTATTTTTGTTGCTTTATTTAGCGTTTGTATTATCTCAAAAGCGGTTGAGAGTAAGAACTATATTTTTGCACGTAACTTTAAAATGGCGACTATGGGGTCAACATCCTGCCTTGAACAGGATCACATAAGCCGGCAATTGCTCTTTGAGCAATAAGCCCGGCTAAAAACTATCTTGCCTACGGCACAATATTTAACGAATGGAAATTGGATCGTTTTTACTTAAACTAAATTACTTTTTGTAAAAATTTGTGAACAAGGGCATGAAACTTTTACATCTGGGGCTCGTAACATAAAGCTTGCTAAGTTTTTGACTTAAGTAGGGTCGTAAGTACCTTTTAAGCGTAATCTTAGGAAACAGAAATGTGACTTCTTAACTTCCTCCACAGCTGCCAATGGAGAATTTTTTTTCTTTTTGAAAGTCATTGAAATTCTTACATAATTGCATTCAATATCCTATCTTATTGCGCGGTAGAATACATAGTAAGAATTATATGCATTTTCAATACTCTTGGAACGCTAAAACGTACTTGGTTTTGACTCAATTTAATTCAAATCAAAGGAAAATATAATTACAGTTGTACGTCACCCCCCCCTCCCCCGCATTTAACATTCAATGTCCCAAACGGCTCTTACATGTACGTCAAGTCTGAAACGCGCTAAATTCAGTAGAAACTATAATGAAATTTACAATTATATAGAGAGAAAATTAGAGAATGTAAATGTAAGCATGGGATTCTTAGCATTTTTTTGCACTGTTATAGAACAGACAATATCAAAAAATAAGAATACGAGTTGCTTAAAAGTCTTTGCACACCGGTGAAAAAAAATTTTGCCTTCCATATGGCCATTCACTTTTTCTTCGTGACGAATGAACCAGGAATCCAAATCCAAAGATTAAATATAGAAAAGGCCTTTGAGTTGAAACCCCCTATGCTAACAAACCTTGAAACCCCGTTAGGAACAGTAGAATCTGGCAACAAAAGTTTCTTACAGAAATAGAGACTGTTAAAGGTGAAAAAGGTTTTCATGGATTGTTTTTATATCAATCTTTATCTATCATCCTTAAAATGACCTATAAAGGTCCGCTTTTGAAAATTATAGAGCAAAGAATGTCAGCGACACCACAACTTTTCCCAGTCGACTGAACTGTCCAGAAGTGTTTGCACAATCCGTAACGCTTTCGACCAGCCTATTGCACTAAATTGGAAGGTAATACATTCTTACAACCCGTGCGCAAATCATTTGGACCCGAAGAATGCATTAGCAAAGGATTCTTCACAAATATATTTTCCAAATGCAAAAAATCACCGCTTCGGAGTTGAAACCCCTTAATTTATGATACTTAACCGAAACCCCACATGTGCCACTACACACGGTGTACCAGGTCAATCGAAGTCAAATCAAGGTTAACGCACACTGTGAAAATGTGTTTAGATGATAGACACGTTCCTAAGCACATTCTTGTCACACTTTTGTTTTTTTTTTAGCTCTACTGGTCAGAGACCAGAAGAGCTTATGCAATAGTAATGCGTCCGGCGTCCGTCCGTCTGTAAACAATTTTTCAAAATGTTACTCCTACAGTTTTGGTCTGATTTCAATGTAACTTGGCACACTAGTAGACTACACTTAGATATATAATTCTGTTTATCGGTTTTTGATTTCGATGAGCGGTGTTGCCCTGGTTACTAAAAATAGAAATTTCTGTGAAATACTTTCAAAATGCTACTCCTCCTACAGTTTCGTCTGATTTCAATATAACTTGGCACACTAGTAGACTACACTAAGATACATAATTCTATTTATCGGTTTTTGATTTTGATGAACGGTGTTGCCCTGGTTACTAAATATAGAAATTTGTGAAATACTTTCACAAAGCTACTCCTCCTACAGTTCGCAGATATGTTAAGGAAGCATATAAGTCATTTCTCGTAAAAATTTAGACTTTTTAAAGAAAATTAATTTTGATAAATTACCAAAACCGCTTATAAATGTAAACTGTTATTAACGATTACATATAGATAAAAGAGTGTCTAATACAAAGACATGCACCATCGCCACGGCATCACGTGACTTCTTTTAATAGCAAAATTTTCCTTCATAAAAAAGCCAACAGAACAACAATACCCCGGAGTTTAATGATTTCTTTGAGTAAATAATATAATTGAAAAACATCTATTTTGCCTAAAAAGTGCTGCTAGAATCCCACTGTCCTGTCAGTAAAATAATTAGTACACACATTCGCACTAAACCCTACCGTATGTTTTGAATTTTATGCATATGACTTTCTTTAAACCGTCATCTTCCTGGTAAAGCACTGCTCCAAGACCTTGGCCACTGGCACCGGTATGTAATTCGAAAGGCTTACTAAAATCTGGGTAACTCAAAACTGGTGCAGTTGATAATTTCTCTTTCAATAAATCAAAAGCTCTCTGCTATTTCTCACCCCATTCCCATTCTTTTACAATTTTCTTTTTCTTCTTTTTGGATGTACTAGGAAATAACTCTGTCAATGGTTTAGAAATCTGGCTAAAATTCTGAATAAATCTTCTAAAATATCCTGCAAAGCCTATAAACTTCCTTATCTCTTCAGGATTTGTAGGTGTAGGCCAGTCAACTACCTTTGATATCTTGTCTGGATCCGTCTCTACTCCCTCGCTGGAAACAACATGTCCCACATACTTCACTTTTCTTTTGAATAAGGAGCATTTCTTGGGTGACAATTTGAGATTGGCTGCACGGATACGGTCGAAAACTAATTTTAGTCGTTCCAAATGTTGTTGAAATGTAGAGGAAAATACAATGATATCGTCAATGAAAATACAGCAAATTTTCAAATGTAGATCTCCTAAAGTTTCTTGCATTAAGCGTTGATAAGTTGCGGGTGCTCCCGTCAATCCAAAAGGCATTCGATTGAATTCATACAGACCTAAAGGTCCTACCGTGAAGGCAGTTCTCTCTTTATGTGGTTCAAAAATTTCCACCTGATGGTATCCGGATTTTAAATCTAGGACCGAAAAATATTTGTTCCCCGCTAAACAATCCAGCATTTCCTCTATCCGAGGTAGGGCATATGCATCCTTGGTCTTTTTGTTTAGTTGTCTAAAATCAATGCACAGCCGTAAGGAGTTGTCTTTCTTCTTTACTAGTACTACATTTGATGACCACGGTGAATGGGATTTTCTTATGATTCCAGATCTGAGCAACAGCTTCAGATGTTCTCGTACTTCATTTATCATTGCTGGTGGAATTCGTCTGTATCTCTGCTTGAAGTTTCTATCATCCTCTAACTCAATCTTGTGATACACATTCCTTGCTTGCCCAACATCTGTATCACTTCTCGAAAATATATCCCTATAGCTCTCAATCAGCTGTTTTCCTTCTTCAATCTCATCAGGGGATAGGTTTTCCTCGTCCATTGTAATCAGGTTCAAAACATCTTGTTCCAAGTCTCCTTCTGTTTTAGTCACTGGTGGCTCAAGATCTGTTTCTGTGACAGGCTGTATTTCACATAGAATTTCCTTTGGTAGTATGGTAACTGTTCTAGTAGTAATGTTACTCATATAGACATCTACTGGATGTAACACAGCACTCTTGTATTCAATCAAGGATGGTTCTATGTCTATATCATTATCTATTCTTGACTTGATGGTAGGTTGTAACATCGCTAACGTCTGTTGGTAGGGTAAAGCTTTATTTATATATCCTCTGACAATTACTCTCGAGTTTGGCTGTATGCGAATGGTGTTTTTTTCCGCACTTCTTACCAGTCCCAGTCTAAAATTGTTTCTTCTAAGTTCCTTTTCCCTGAGTAGAATGGAACGGAACGATAAATACCATGGTGTTGTTAATTTGGATTTATCTAAATATCTGTCTCCATGTTTCCTTTGAAATGTTTCCATTAAAGTATTCAAGATATTGGTTCCCAACAAAACAGGTACTTTGAGATTATACGGGCTGTCAGGAATGATCAACAAAATTGATGGTACCGGGTTATCCATATCTTGTATTTGTAAATCTACTGCAATACAACCCTCATATGGCAGATGTTTGCCGTCGGCACATTCAATATTAATTAAGGCTCCTATGTCCTCAATAGGCACATGCTGAAAATAATCCAAGTAGAACTTTTTACTCATTGTTGATATTGTAGAACCTGTATCTATGAGTGCCTTTGTTTCTATGCCGTTAACAAGAATAGTAGCTTCTGTTGGTTCTCCACATAAACCAGGTGGTAATTTCCTTGATCTTATTGGAATCGATTCTATGGACGATCTCTCCTCATAGACTTGCTGAAGTTTAAAGTTAGTGGCTTTCCACTAATATCTCTGTTGGCTCTACATCCTCGTTCTATATGACCTTCTCTGCCACATCTCCTACACACAACTTCAGCAAATTGTTGACTTTGTAAAGTACTAAATGTACCGGCTGTGCTGCTTTGGTCAGGCTGATCACGTTGTTGTGATCTATATTCACCTTCTGATCTCCTAGGGTAACTCCAATGTCTTCTTCTAATACAGCCTCTGTTTCTTGTCCTGTAGGTTGCTGAACCTCTGAACTGACTTCTACCCTGCTTTGTAGCTCTAGGTTATTAAGCCGATGAGTAATTTGTTTCAGCATCCCTTGAACTTCATCTTTTTCCTGCACAACAGCTTGCTTAACATGAGCTGTCCTACTCCCCACATCAATTTCATTTTCTTTCTCCAGCTTCCTTAATGCAACTCGCAACTCATCAAATCCTTTAAATCTCTCCTTCTCGTAATGGCAATTAGCTTTTAACTCCGGCTTTAATCCCTTGTCTTTTGTTTCTGCTTTGACAAATTTTCCTTCCTTTGTTTCTAAGTAAGCTATCATCCATTTTTCAAGATCTGCTGGTGTGTCAGCCTTTGGAACAATTCCCATTGTTTTTAAAGTTTCTAATAAAGTTTTGTATTGTTCAGGTACTTCTGACATGGTGATGTAGAATAAATTCTCAGAACAGTTGTTGTTATCAAAATACAACACAATGGTAGTGACCAAGAAAATAAAGAAAACGCACGAAACACGATTTCCACGAAAACCGATCATTCGTTGTGCACAAAATATTCTCCGGTAATAAACAAATCGCAGTTTAAGATTTACTGTTAATTTTTTATGGTCAATGGTTTGCGGTTTAATGGGTACCCATTTTTTTTTTTAACCTTTCTATAAGTAACCTTTTATTTTGATTTTACACTTAAAACCAAAATACTGTTTAACTACCTAATTATTTTCCTAAATAAGGAATTGTCTACTTCAGTACACTCAGATTATACAACTAGATTACCACAGTTGTTACAACTTTGACTGTCAAGTTTAACCTTTCTGCACTAAACTAGTTCCCACAAATATTGCACAAGCAAACCTCCAAACTCTGAACTTCAATACTTATGTCTATGTCATTCAGGTATGTTACTGTCCAAGTTAGTAAACTAGTAATTGCTCTTTCACTTCGGATTCTCTCAAATTTCTTTCAATAAATTTACCTCAAAATTTAAAATTTGAATTTAAAGTATAAACAAAAATTAATTGATACTTCTTTTGTTTAAGGAAAATAAATTATACTATGTTGCAGCTGACAGACAAAAAAAATTGCTTTCACTTTGTCTTTACAATTCAATTAATGTTTCAAAACAATTAATGAAATACCATCTGATATTAAACTTGATTTGAAAACATGACACAAGTATTTCAAGTTGTAAACAAATGTACCATTCAGTCAGGTGTCAAAATTTCTAAGACAATTCAGAATGTGTTTACATGTAAATAAACAAGGATCAAATACACACAGATTATGACAGACAGATTAATGTTGTTACTGTTCGGCCAATTCCATCCGACTCCAACCACTGTTTTGTAGAATCACTATAGTCTACGTCTTGTTATACACAAAGCAAATTCGGAATGGATTGTCCTGCTTATTACTCAGGAATATAACCGAAGTTCAACTCTTGTGTTGCTAATTGACACAACAAAGTCACAGAGCTATACCTGTAGCTCTTAAAATAAACTATGAAGAAAAATATTTACCACAATTGACTCACATAAAACAGCTTTGCTTGTTTTCTCAGTTCACGTGTTGTTATTGTCAATTGTCAGGGCCGCTTCCGGTAAGTCACTTCCGGTTAGGCTCCGAGTGAATTTGGACCTCTACCATAAAGTTCCGGTGGGTGGTTTCGTCATCATCTCGAGTCCCAACGTGGGCGCCATTTCTGTTACAGTTTTCCAATAGTAGAAATAACTATTCTGGTAGTAACAGATTTATTGATGTCACATTGTCAACATTTAAACAGCTAGGCTCTGAAATACATACAAACATAAAATCATCATACATGCACATTACAACACAAAACACACATCAAAGGGAAATAACTCAATTTCAAAATTGAACACAAATAATAGTCAATAAGTTTGAAATGAAATAAATATGAATTTAGATAGAATAGTAAAACATATTCAATTTAGCTTTTCCCAATTATAAATTAAAATCAATATTGTATCAAATCAAATAAATAAATCAATATTTCTCAAATTCATCAGTGCAAAATAATTTGTTCACACAGAAAACACAATCAAACACCACAAACAAATTCAACACACAAAACATTGATCTTACCAGATATATGGTATCAGAACCAGTTCTTTATATTTATGTATGTATTTACAGCTATGGCTAAGGAACTCCCTAAAAACCAATTGTTATATTATATATTGATTTCATCAAAATGTAAAATATTAAATAAATGCTATTTTTATATTTATCACACAATCACATCCCTGTTTTGATTGATATCATAGATGTAAATTAAATTCAGTCAACAAAAAGTCTTTTATTTTTAAATTTCAAGTTCTTAAGTTATGAAACAATTTTTTTTTTGGAAGAAAATATTGCTGACTGTGTTTTAAAATAGTTGGATTTCTTTACAGTTTAGGCATGTATGTTAGTCACTTTTTTAATCATTTTTTTTGGGGGGGGGGGGTGCTGATGAATAGTCATTATATGTTGTTGTATATATGTTATTGTTTCTCATTTTTTGTCGGATTTTGAATCATACACTACAGTGAAATTATTTCTATTATTAATTCACAATTACGTTAAGTGACTAATAAAAAAGTTACACATAGTATACCTTCAACAGACATCTCCTCTCTGCTCTTTATAACTGCAGCTGATATACCATGTCTTGAATTATGCTGACATTGATCAAGCATGAGACTTTTCAATGGTGAAATAACAATACATATATGCCCGATGTTAGAATCAAGGTCTAAAATTAATGGGGGTAACAGAAAACATATACTCTTTCCAAACCCAGTGGGGAAAACGCCCAAATAGTGCCTTTTCTCTAGTATTGCATTTACCACAGACCCTTGTTGGTCTTTTACTTCAAACTCAAAATGAAAACTTGGTTTGATCTTATCCTCAAATATTGTCTTAATGAAATCCGCCATGTATTTTTCACATGTGAATGTCAAAGCTAGTGTACTACGTCACAACTTCTACGCTTTTGATTAGGGTACATGTTTTCAGACGAGGTTAGAATGAGAAAATTAAATGAAAGTGTGTGTAAAGTTTGAGTGTGCCTGTTGCTGAATGTCTGAAAAAACAAGACCAACAAGTAAAATTCGTTGTCATCTTTTATTTTTGACGATATGAATTGAAATCGACAGGAATGGGTGTTTATTGCTATTGTAAACACGTGAAATGCCGGTTAGAGTTATATCCCTTTGTCACGTTATCAGAAACCGAGATCTCGCTCTCAGGTCAACATGGCTGTCAAGAGGCGAAAATTTCAAATTTTTGACGTTTCGAAGCTGATAAGAGCAATCTGAAATATTTCCAGTGGGTTTAAAGTGACGAGAGTAGTTCATTTGGGTCTAAGGGATTTTTAGCCTATAGAAACCAAGGTTTTGTGCAGTTGAGGTAAGACATTATAGAAATAATTCCGGAACAAAGCGCAACTTTTTGTGCGCAATAAATATACAGTTTTTTCATTGGGTGGCACTGTAGCTCTCCGGTTTATCAATATATATTTTTTCGGAGGGCTACAGATCTGCAGCTAACAGCGCTAAGAACAGTGAAGTCGTGAAAGCCATTTCCAGCATTTTTTCTCCTATTTTTTTTTTTTTTTGTGGTAAAATCAGATTTTGAGAGCAGTAGGCGTTACAGATAATAATTTTATATTAAATCACAATATTTGCAAAGGTTTACCGTCGCACATATTACTGCTTGAAATTAAAAAGCTGCGCAAAGTCATGCGCAATCGAATTAGACTCGGCCTTGTTTAGTTTAAGTTTTAAAAATGCCAAAATAGTTTAAAATAGGAATTTTTTTTTTATTTTCTGGTATTTTTAAGAATAGCTTTTTTTACGTCACAGTCAACTTTTACGGTATTAAGTAGGCCATACCCCCTATATGCAGCCTTAAGTATGCTTCGCATTGATGACTGTAGGATATTTTTGCTGACAAGATCATTAAAAGAACGATAGGATTTTCGAACTGATGACAAAGCTTTATTATGGCCAAACCAGAACAAAAAGACGTTTTCGCAGCGCAGCAGGCTGGGGGAGCAGATTCAAAATATAATGTCTAAATCTTAGACTGTGAACGGTTCATAGTTAAGAATTAAAGTCCGCGTTTTCGTGAATGTTGCAGAATAACCTCCCGAGGTCGAGACATGTTGTTTGAAAGATAATAGCCGAGATGTTAGCAGAGACTTTTATATTTCAAACAACATTTCGAGACCGAAGAGGTATTCTGCATCATTCACGACAACAAGGACTTTATTTCTATTCTACTACATGTACTAGCAGCTCTAGAATACGACAGATCGTTTCTCTATAGAGAAACGAATTAGGTCACCATGCTGCAATATTTCAACTGTTCCATTTAGCACTAGAGTGTAAATGTTTGTTACCTGTGAATAGAATGCAGACGATTTGTACTTTTGCTTCATACAAATTACCTTTTGTTCATTATAAATCTGTTTGTAGCTTATATAGGGTAATCTTTTTGAATATACAAAGAAAATCAGTTTCCTATTTTACCACTTTATCACTAAAATCAAGGAGGTTAAATATGGCGTAGGGAGGTTCGTGAAACAGCCCCGTTTGACTTTAGAAACCTACATTCATCAGCTACCTTCAGCTATATACAGTGTTTAAATTGCAAAAGACGACACATCAATGTGGTCTAAATAAGTATTTCATTCTTTAGTCAAACGTATATTTCAACTGCACAGGATTGATACGTGTTTCTGATCTGATAATTTTTGTATGATTCGTGATTTATTGGAGAATAATGTCCGCGGCATTTCTTTGATCTTGGCAATAATCATAATAGAATTCACAATATTATACATGTAGAAACGGTTTAGTTATAGGGAAGCTTATGATATTGAACAGAGATCACTCTCATAAAATCTATAATGGTTACCGTTCGTGGTAGTTCAGTCGTTAGACCGCTCGCTCAATGATCATGAGGTCATGAGTTCTAATCTCGGCCGCACTGACCTAATTGGATAAAAAAAAAATGGGTAGCAACTGTTCATGCCTATGCGCCCGGCACTTTGAAGTGAAAGTTGCGGGTCCTTCGGATGAGACCTTAAAAACCGAGGCCCCGTGTCACGGTAGCTGCGGAACTGTAGCTCTCCAAAAATATATATATTGACTGACCGGAGAGCTACAGTGCCACCCATTGAAAAAAAAAAAAAAACTTTATTTATTGCGCACAAAAAATTGCGCACGGTTCTGGACTATTTCTTCCAAATTCTTACTTAAATTGAAAAAAAAGCCAGATTTCAAAAAATGCCTTACTCCTCTATCAAGTACTCTCGTAGTTTACATGTGTACGAAGCGCGTTGGACCGAGTTATCTTACAAACCAAAATGGCAGTATAAATAGGCGAAATTTACGATGATCTTAACTTCACGGCT